TTTGTTTTTTATTTTCATTTTATTTATTATCTTACTCTGTAGCGGCCTTGGATACCTTGATAGGTGCTATATAAATTCAAGTTATTATTATTATTATTATTATTATCATTTAGGGCTGCCCCCGACTGCAAATTTTCCTAGTCGACCAATAGTCGTCATTTAGCACCATTAGTCGACTAGTCACCTGCATGTTTGTGATATTAATTTTATTATTAAAGTATAGACTTTAGGCGGGGCAACACGATGGTTTGAGTTGAAGGTGTGAGAAAGAATAGTATCAGTAACATTGTTAACACTGTGCTACATTACAGAGAAATACAAAACCGTTCTAATGAACCTTCATTAATATAGGCCTATATTTTATCTACAAGTACACGTCACACACTGAGCGAGCCGCCTGTTAATGACGCTGTGGGCTAATGGGCATGTAGCTACTTCCATGTTTCAGATGATACGTCATGTTTGTAGTCGACCAATGAAGATGAGTTTACATATCACCTTGGGTTCGTCCTTCACCTTCTCAAAATGATCCCACACTTTGGATTTCCTGCCCGACATGTTATTAACTAGCCTGTGAGATAACCGCAGGTACCAGCCCTGGAAATTAACCTGACTCCTGTCTGACTGCTGAGCGTGGACACTTCCTGTGTCTGTCCTTTGAAATTAAATTCACACATGGTCCAGTCATATAGGTTTTGATTTATTTTGACAAGGCGCAGCTCCTAATAGCGTTTCATGTTTGTTTTTTGTTTTTGTTTGTCCTGTGACTAAGCGACCAATCAAATCTTCTGACTAATGACCACTGACCTTCTGGTTGACTAACATTTGGTCGACTATAAAGGGGCAGCCCTATTATTATTATTATCATAATTATTATAATGACTGCTGTAGCACTGTGGAGGACAAATTATAACTTGACAAGCTATTATGTAAGATTTTAAATCAAAAGGAGGACAGAAGCTTCCTGAAAGGGAACGCATATGTCTGAATCAGTCACTACAGATGAAATTTGACAACGTTGTACTTATCACTTTTTTAAAACCTTTTTTCTTTTTAAATTGGGAATGAAACTCTTATTTTAAGGATAAGGCTGGTGATATTCTGTATTTTTCTTACTGTCAAGAAATCCTGTGAAAAGATCAAAACCAACAATGACTGCTGCTGTAAATATTCGTACTACTACTGCGGCAAATGGGTATTTATAATAATATAACATTAAATGAATGAGCTTGGGGTTGAGAGCCACAGACAGGACAGGGAAGTCGAATGTATTGACAGATGCACTTACACACTGTTGGTTTCAATCTTTTCATGGGATTCGTGACAATAACCAGGGGCGTCATAGTGGGGGGAGGGGAGTGGGACTAATTACCCGGGCCCCAGTGAGAGGGGGGCCCTGAAAAAGCAATTTTTAAAATTTCTCACTAATTAGTGGCGTAACTACAATAAAACTAGCTGAATAAATCGGTTAAAAGGCTGAACTACATTTAAAGAAAATAGTGGAAGCTCTCTGAGGCCCCTCTCACCACTTAAAGCTGCAAAATGGTTTAGTCTGCACCTGCACTATAATCCGTCTTTATGGGTGCAATCGTAAATCCAACCTGACACACTACAGTAAAATGAAGGTGCTGTTGTTTGAAGTAACAGAGCCTTCTATTTCTACATGAATTGAATTAATCACACATTCACTCCGTGCGCCACTCTGCTGCTCCGTCTCCACACACACAGTGCCCAGAGCACGCTCTGCTACTCAGAGAGTGTGGGGTTCTGAATATCCAAATGGTAAAGTCCAGCAGTGCTCAGAATTTACGAAAGGCCCATTTGATGCCAGAGTGTGTTCTGGCACATGGAGTGAGTATTTCTGAACGCTTCAGAAATCTTGCTTGAGCCAAGTGAGGGAGTGCTGATGCTGCTGGAGCACCAGACTGTCATGTCTTTCCTCAACAATGGGACATCAGGGCTCCAAATGAGAAGAGGAAGGGAGCGTGAGAGAGACATGGATCAAGAAGGAAGGATGGGGGGCCCAAAACTTATGCATGGGGCCCAGAATTTGGTGTTACGCGCCTGACAATACTTAAAATACAGAACTATGCCAGCCATATCCTTTTGTATTAATACTGGTGTTCAAAGTTTTATGTTTCCAATTTAAATGTAGTTAAACCTTTAATATATATTGCTACCATACACACAATTATTTGTGTAGTCGTACAATAGTATTTACTAATCTGTCCTGTAATTAAGTTTCCAGACAATTTCTTTGCCTGATTATGAATGACAAAATAAATAAATCCTGAATATTAGTGACACGCAACCGCTGTTGAACCTCCGTGTAAGCTCATGTTAAGGTGTGATTTTAGTTGTAATCTTTCCATGATTAAAAACTTTTCCAAGTGAGTCCCACAGTTCATGTACCAAACGTGTCATCACCACCATTTATTACACAGGGAGCCGGTGCATGACAAACATCACAGTTTGTTCTCAGGCCCCGGACTTTCAGTTTTTCTACTGATGTTAAAATCACACATTTGAACCATCACTTATCTACTAACAGATCAAACTAATGAACACATGATAGCGAAGGCAGCACCAGCTGAGGAAAAAAGGCTTCTCTGTTTACATATCATCGGCAACATGAACTCCTGTCCCTCCTGAAACTGTATGATTGTAGATGTGTTGAGATGACTCCGCTGCCTTTACACTTCTGAAATAACTGAAACATTGTCATAGAGTCACTGTTGTGTCATCTGCCACTTGTGTCGCACTCACTGTTATTACATACACTGAATAACACTGCATCGATATGTCTCATGAATCATATTACATTGCTAGTTTGCTGTTTTTAAAATTTCTTTTTGTACATGAGATTTCTATATTCTACCTCGGATCAGAGAACAGTTGCTGTGCTAAAATGACCATAGTATAGATGCAGATGAGTAAACTGATAATAGGACTAAGGCGCTCATTGCACACTAAAAATACAACAGAACTAAGTTTTTTTTTGTCTATTTTTTAAGGGCAAAAAAAACACTGTGCCAAAATGTGTGTTACAGAGAGTGAAAACAAAGACAAGGCCTGGCAGTGCCTCGGCACGTAGATTAAGATACAGCTTTGTCATTTTTGTTTTCACTTGTCTTAAAGGAGCAGTGTGTAGGATTTAGTTGCATCTAGCAGTGATGACTGCAGATTGCAACCAGGTTAAACTCCCGTGTGTCACGCATGAACTCCCAGTGAGGATTCCTTCAGTGTTCATTGTTCAGGAGGTTTTCACCGGGTGGCAAATTATCCTCAGAGGTCTCGTTATCTTCAAAACAAATTGACCTGATGATCTAAACCGGTAAAAACACTGAATAAAACAGTTTCACATAAAAAAAAAATTCAAGTGTCTCTCCAACGCTGTTTGGCTTGTCGCAGAAGGGCCGCTAGCCCACCACCTGCGAATGTGTGCTCACCTTTCTTCCGTAATAACTTAAGATCCAGGTGTTTAAGAGGTTTTTACCAGGAGCCAAATTATCAGCAGAGGTCTCTTCCTCTCCAAAACAATTGGACCTGGTGATTAAAAACAATAAAAACTGAATAAAGTAGTTTCCAGTGACAAATCAGTGTTTTTAGGACTCATGGTGGAGGGGGTGCTAATTAACTACGGTGGCCAAAACAAAAACCAAATAGCCCTGTCTAGAGCCAGTGTTTGGTTTGTCCGTTCTGGGCTACTGTAGAAACCAACATGTTCTCATCCTAACTCATCAAATACTGTCACTTTGTAAATGGACATACACGCTAAAGTATGACACACTAGGTACTCTCCTGTGTCTGTTTTGGATGTTCATGGATGGCGTGTCAATTTACGCCTGTTACATGTATATTGTCTTTTCAAAAAACAGTTTTCACTCATTAACTGCAAAAAAGTCTTTTTCAGAATAAACTCACAGCGTTGGTAAAGGACTTAATTTTAAGGTTGATTCCTTCAGTTTAGGCAACAAAAGCACATGGTTAGGTTTAGTAAAAAAAAAAACATCATGGTTTGGCTTGAAATTCCAACCCTATCTTACTCCAAAGTTGTCAAAATCTGGCATTTGGCAGTGACTTGCGGCATCAGACACTGACGAATAAAGCCGTCCTTTAACGTCGGCACGCTGTTATAGTTTAATGTTACCTGGCAGCATCGGGGGAAACACAGCAGGACACGAACAAAAGTTAAGGCGACAAAAGTCCGAGTAGGGCAGGTGGGAGGGGTGATGGATGGATCCAACAAACATGGACTTTCACACCAGATAGCGGTGTTTGTGTCCCGTAAGATTATACAGCCAAACCCTGTTCTTTATTTCCCGAACCGAACTACATGCTTTTGTTGCCTAAACTCAACCATGCCAACTGTCAATTCATGTTGTACCGACGTAGTGCTTTTATTTTGAAAGAGATTGTATGTAAACTGTAAATTTCCAGTGACAGTGGAAGTGTATTTTGAAAGAACGCTATGCATGTAACAGGCAGAACTTGACACAGCATCCCAGAACATGAAAATTCACACAGGAATCAAACAGCAGTCTCCTGGGTGAAACTCCAGAGTTTGTTGGACCCATCCATGTCCTCTCCTGTCTGCCCTATAATGACTTTCTTGCTCTTTACATTGGGGTAGTTGCTGATGGTGTTACAAACTGCCACGATGGGTGCCTCTCTGTGTCTGTGTCTGACGCCCTTGTCCATTGACAAAACGGCTGTATCAGACGGATTGGGTTGTTGCCCACTGCCTCTAAAACTGGAGTGTGGCGTTGCGTATCATACCACCGTGAAAGGTGCCTCGGTGCCTTGGTCTCTGACACCAAAATCACTGTAAAAGCGGCTGTATTTGACGAGTTGGGAGTGAGAATGGGCTGACAAAACATGGCGGATTTCGTGGTTGAGGACCCGCTCCCTATGTAGATAAAAACTTCTCATTCTAAGGTAACAAAAAAAACTTGATTCTTATTTTCAGCTGATTATACACCAAAGAAAACTAATATTACATTTCTGCAAATATGTCCCCCTAAATCCTACACACCAAACCTTTAATTGATTTTTTTGGCACAATGGTTTTTCAGATATTAACTTTTGGCATTAAATGTCTGAGCATGAAGCTCTTTGGAAAGCATGAACCTAGCATGTAGCATAAAATACGTCCTTACAGCTATGGACATACTTATTCTGAATGCACATTACAAGCACTCAAAGCAGTCAACTTATGATTAATTCCTTGTTTTTTGAATTCTGGTGTTTGGCAGAGGCTGGCGTCAAACAGATGTTGTATTGGTCTATGCTTTTATCTCCATCCTGGTTAAAAATGCACATACCAATCTGTTATTCCCCTGACAGGCTGTCTCTGCCTGTCTAAACCTGTACAGATTAACCTGCTTCCTACAGTTTAATGTACCTGTTAAACAATCAAAGCACTGGTTTCATATTAGAGGTGTCTATTATCTTAAATACATGGAATGATACCAAAACAATCCTCCTTCTAGTATATTTTCAAAGTCAAAGAATACAGACATGTTTTTCTGTTTTCCAGCCCATAAGTGTTTGGAGATTCACAGTGAGTTGAGCGACTGGATTAGTAAGAGCAGCACGGGAAAACTCCAGCCCTTCAGACATATATTGTTAATTCGTATAATGGGTCAAAGGCAACACACCTGCTGCGTCTTCTTTGTGTTTCATGTCAAAACCTTGTCCAGTCGTCCGACAGCAGAAAGTGATAAAATCGAGTGGAGGCCTTTACATTCACATTATCACTCAGATTGGTCTTCTTGTTTTGTCCAAGGTTAGACTGTTGAATATCCAAGCCAGTGATGTGAAGGGTACATGGGGAGTGGAAGAGTCAATGTCTCTGTATGTTCCTCTGTGTCTTTCTTACAGATACTTCCCTTTATTTCTCCAGGTTTGTCCTGTCTGTTAGAAGCTCACCAAGGCGTAGACCATACTGCAGTGGGAAATAGGCAATGGCAACACACAGAAAAGTAGGGAGAAATCAATGATTGTGCTGCTCTTTAGCAACATCACAACAAAGTTGAAAGGCATCAGTGGCTACGTTTACATGCACAAAATATTCTGGGTTTTGCCCTTTTCTGAAAAAGATAATGGGCCTCATTCACAAATAGTCCATATGTGAAAATCTGGGATCAGTGTTGCCAACTTAGGCCATGTTTACACAAAAACGGAATCGTTTCTCATTTTCATTTTTGAAAAAAGTTCTGCATTCAGACGACAATAATTTGATGACAGTCGCTGTGCACACGGATCCAAAAACGCTGTAGTATACACACCAGGCCAGTAGTTGGCGGTGTGACTTTGTAATGAAACAACACGTGCCTGTGCACATGCGCTTCCTTCTACAGAGCGGTGATGTACAAACAAACAAAATGGCAACCACACGAATATTTGTCTGGATGGACGACAAGGTGGAGTTGCTACAGTAAATCTACACTTTGCTGAAGAAGCGTTGATAAATTTAATGGGTTGAGCAGCACAAACAGAGCTTGTGAGTCCGCCAGTCGCGGATCAGGTGATTTGGGCAAGTTTGTTAGAAAATATTGTGGGTTTTGGGCAGGCGGATCATTAAGGGACAAAGCAGCGCTCTTAGTTATGTTGTTACAATGCAATGTTCTGTTGGGAAACCTTGGGCTCTGACATTCATGTGGTTGCCACCTGTGACACTCCAGCCACCTAAACACCGGTGCAGACCAAGCACCCCCCCTCATGGCAATAGCACTCCTCACTAACAGTGGCCCCCCAGCAGGACAATACGCCATGCAACACCACAAAAATGGCTTAGGAATGGTCCGATGAACGAGATAAAGAGCTCAAGACATTGCCCTGGCCTCCAAATTCCTTGGACCCTGATCTGATCAAACAGCTGTAAGATGTGCTGGTACCCCACCTCACAACCCACGGGACTCAAAAGATCTGTAAGTAACGCCCTGATGCCAGGTACCAAAGAACACTCCCAGAGGCCATGGATTGGGGGTACCTCTGGGGTACCAGCACATCCCTCAGATGTTCAATCAGATTGGGATCTTTATCGACCAGTGCCATTGCCATGAAGGGGTTTACTTGGTCTGCAACGGTGTTTGGGTGGGTGGAGCACGTGAAGTAGCATGCAAATGAATACCAGGATCCAAGGTCTCTCAGCAGAACAATGCACTGTAACAAGATGATCAATCTTGAAGTTATTCACTTCACCTGTCAGTGGTTTTAATGTTTTGGCTGATCGGTGTATGTATATACGGCAATAAGACTGTTTAACACCTCCTGAATCAGTCACATACACATCGCAATTTTAATTTAATTTTAATTTTATTTTTAATTTCTATTTATGCACTTATTTTAACTTACTTTTTTGAGCTGCTGGACAGTTGAATTTCCTTTTGGTGATGAAAAAGTTCTTTCTATTCTATGTATATATATAACATCCGGTTACGATGGGGTGGATTGACTCTCACAAACCCTGACCCACGTACCACTAGCATGCACAAATGATGATGATTACACTAAATGCATAGCACGTTAAAACTGCATTCATTAACAAAGGCTTTAATAAACAACAATATTCAAAAACTGTTAATTTAGTTATGCATGCACTCGTTTGATGCCTTTTCATCCCCATCAATTATCTTCGTAATCATTTTTTAATATATATATTTTTTTTATATTCACCCATATTTTACCAGGTAGGTCCCGCTGTGATCAATAATCTCTTTTACAAGCCAAACAACTACACAATAAAAAACATAAAAGATGCACAGTTTCATGTAGAAAATATTCAAACACTTACGTGCAATGACAAGTTGTAATAACTGTAGTTGTAATACTTGTAATTAAAATCTAAAAACTGAGTGTCCCAGTCCTAGCTTACAGTACAGTGTATGGGAATGTCCATACTGAACATACTTAGTGCCATGAAATTATTATTATCATAAATATTATTATTATTATTATTATTATTATTATGATGATGAGTCATCCAGTTATATAAAAGATTATGATCTACCTCTGAGCAGAGATGACACATGTAACCTAGTTAGAAGATATTGCAGTCTGTGCCTTCAGGACAGAACGCTTCTCCGCGACTGATATAACATGTTTGAAGAAAGTGATGAACGGGTGTTTCAGACTGCCAAGACATTCACAGACGCTCACTGATGGCCAGACACTGGTGTGTTAGGACCTTAATATGTGTGTAAAAACAACTTCACTGCTTTTTCCATCATCCACCTGGAGGCTAACCTGTTTCCTTATGTAGAGAAACGGGGGCGTGGCAGTATGTTGATTACAAATAGCGAGCGCACGCCTGTCAATTTTATTCCTACTAAGCTGTTTAAATGGCTAATGAAAATGAATATTCTACTGATATTCTCAATTACATGCAGCCCTGCACACTCCAATTAATGTGCCAGGTCAAATGTGAAAAAGTGGGAACGGCTGCAGCTGCTTGTACTGTTTTGCTTCTTTGCCTCAAAATAGGATTTTTTCACAGTTTTCCACCAGTGGCAGACTTGTTAATAATGCTCTTAAAACCAAAATAATACTGGCATATTTCATGTCTTAATCAGGAATTGGCCTAATTTATGCTGTTAACATGACTTGCATTAAACTCACAATACTGTCATATTTGTAATAATAGTGGGATATTAGTTTGCATGTAAACGTAGTCACTGAAACCTCCTCAAGCAAGATCATACTTAAAAGATTGTGAGTTCGTACTGACCTGTAGAGATAATAGAAGAAAGAGAGCAGATAAAAACCCAGCTTACACCAGGACTCCTTCTGGCAGTAATTAAGAATGTCAGCGTTCATCACGCTGACAGGATCATACATGACCTCTGACCCATCAGCTGGCCGATGAAAAAACCTGAAAAAAGCAGAGAGGTTTGGCTCACGCTCGCACCAGATCAACAGAAGCTTGTCGGACATCTGTTATGGGACCGTACCTCCACAGATGGTAGAAGAGCAGCGGGATATTTAGGCCAAGTGTGACCCACTCTCCAGCACACATGAACATCAGACAGAAGAGCCCGTGGATGGAGTACTCTGGTACCACCAACTAACCAGAACAGACAGGAGGTTATGTTACAGGCCTGCATATAATCACAGTAATCACACTTAAGTAACTGCTGGACAAACACTGAAAGACTCATGGGTTGCATGTTGTGTTATAACTACAATCTACAAAACCAAAATCACACCAAACACTTTCACACAGAAGGTGTTAATGTTACTCATGGCTCGCTGCTGTTACGAGTGCAAATATAGCTTCATACACATGTAGCGAGATGATGTTAGTAGGAATTGATGCAGATGGTTCAGGTCGCTCAGATAACTAACATGCTTCCAGACATCTGAACCAACAAGCTGTGAACTCCATGGTGACAGGTATTATCACTTTTTAAGTGGATGTAGCAAAATTGTTAGCGAACTGGTATGGAGCAACATTAGCATTCATTTGAAGTCGGCCATCTGACCACCTGATAAATGTAAGTCCGATATTCATTCTTCTTTTAGCTTTGGTTTTGATCTCCACCAGCTGTTTATCTGGCTAAATGATCCATATGTTCATAAACTAGCTTTGTCTGTCTGCTGTTTGGTGCCAAAGCACATAAAAATGTTGATTACAACTGCTTTAAAGAACAACTTTTAGACTCTGTATACAGATATTTTTGAAAATGGATATTTCCCTCTACATTTTGGTCTCTGGTCCACACGCAAACGGAGTTTTGAAAACGCCTCCTAAGGTGCTGATTTTTCAAAACTGCGGCCACTTTCTATCCATGTGGACATGTAAAACGGAGCGTTTGGGAAACGATCTCCCGGCCTAGTCACCAGAAGAAAATGTTGGTGTTGTACGTTTCTGCAAAACGTGTTACAGTTGCCCGTTACCTATGTATCTTATAATCGTTCGTAGTAAATGAGCTGACTTTGTCATGGTGGATGGTGTGTCACCATGGCAAGACACCTGCCGAGCTGCAGACTACCGTTGCAGCCTAACGGACAACAAAACCGATTGTATGTAAAGGACCCGTCGCTTTTTTATCAGATGACTTTTGGACACAAAATTCGGGTGTTTTGTAGCAAACCTTCGCTGTTTCACAAGCAGCTTTTTAGGCACTGAACATGGAAGGTTTTTAGTGATCTGTGACTGTTTTTCCAGCGGCTCTTTAAGCAACAAATGTGGGTGTTTTTCCATAGGGGATAACTGCATTTTCTGCCAAGACAGTGTGATGAGAAACCATATTTCCTGGTGTGGTAGTGTCCCCAAAACTGGGATTTTTAAGCCAAAATATTACCCTTTCCCAACCATAAGTGGTTTTTGTGCCTAAACCTGACCACATGTCAACCGCAGTGTTGTTGGGACTTAACATTCAACATATCCACTACATGATAATGTAAAAAAGTAACATATCCATGGATTGCCAAAACATACCTTGCTATAATTTATCTTTGGTGACTGGGTTGCATCCCCATGATTTGCACATGCCCATTGTTACTTTGTGTAATGAGCATGCACCAGAAACAGCAACAATGACCAACTATCTGTTTGTGACTTTTTGTCCATGCTGCTTTGTCTGATATCTACTTTACGAACGGAGACATCTGCTGTGCTAGTTCAAAGTCCACAAGAGACTAGGGCAGGGGTAGGCAACCTGTGGCTCCGGGGCTGCATATGGCTCTTTAGACCCTCCTCAACATTCAGATTTTCATTTTTCATTGTTGTAGGCCTAAAGTGGTTATTGCTTCTTACAATTGTAAAAATGTGCAGCCTATACATTGGACTAAAAAAATGTGTTAACGTTTCATCAACTAAAATGTGTGTCCTACGTCTATGACCTGGTGCCTTTTCCTCTAGATTTTGCTGAACTTCAGTAGCAGTGGCCCGGAGTCGCTCTAGCAAGGCCAGCTATGGATTCTGAATCCAAAAAGGAAAAGTCTTTGAGGAAAATAGAGGATTTAAATAATGTGCGGACAGATTAATTTGCTTTCACCGCCAATGCTGCAAAGTTAAAGTACTAAATAATTATCAACATCCCACTGCAGAGTAGGCACCTTGAAGTAAATCCTACCAATGGATGCTCATTTAGACCTATTCGTAATGTTGATGGACTAATTTAGACTTAATGGGCTGTTACCTTGATTCAAATGTTTTGTGGCTCCAGACAGATTTTGTTTACTTATTCTGGCCAGTAATTGCTCTTTTAATAGTAAAGGTTGCTGACCCCTGAACTAGGGTTTTAGATCAGGACATCAAAGGAAAATATACTGATATGTTCAGAATCTTCTCATCTTGTATTTGATGTAATGTTGACAGAGCCTTTGTTGCTACTCCACGTTGGTTTTAGCTACATAAGGAAATTTGTACCTCCCTGCATGTTGTCTCCCTCTGCAACAGTCAAAGGTCATTGAAATTATATTTGTACCGCAGCAAAATATCAAACAAATGTGTCAGCTAAATTCTTCTCCAATTACATAGTGGTAGAGTGGTTATGTGTTAGTGGCACTTTAAGTCCTTGCAGTGCGCCACTGTGTGAAAGAATGAATCAATAAAATCAATATATAAGTCAATAGCAAACATCTGTGAACCAGGAGCTAAATGCACATTCACCTCCAATAACCATTTTCCTCCTTTTGAACCTAACAGACTGTGTTCCTATGAGAGCCATTTTAACAGACTAACTGTTCATTCAGTCATAAAAACATTCATCTTTTCACAGATATAAAATACATTACGGTTCAAATAGTGATCCCCGAGCTAACCTTGAAAGGTATTACTACTCTGCATAAATATATGGGCCCCAGTGGTACAGTAGCATGCTGATAATTTATGGCCCCTGTGGTATCATATTTAGTGATGTAATAACTTGAGCGTACTTGAAGTCTCTGTCGTACCTGATGCTGTGTAACATGTTCAAAATGGCCTCCACAGCATGTCACATTTAATTTCAGGGACACTGAGCACTCTCTCTGACTGTATAGCTGTCCTCCATCTCTGTGTGTCTGCACTGCGGAGCAGTGGTGGTGGGTGGTGGGTTGTGAGGATGGGCTACATGTGAAATGAATCAGTGTGCGTCATGGTCCTCACAATGAGTAGAGAGACAAACGGTCATGCTTGTCTGAAGCCCTTCTGTTTTAGTCATCCACCATCAGCAGGTAGAAACAACTATTACTCACTCTGCGGAGCAGGTTGCAGATTCTTTCAATGTTGAGGATCCTCTCTCTCTGTGGATATAAAGAAAGTCTGATTAACAGTCTGAATATTTATTCATCCTGTCCATGAAAATAAATCTAAAGGATGATATAGGTTTCAGAGAATTCTGTTTCAGCTGACAAACTTTTAGACATTTTGGTGACACCATAACTGTATAAAGGAAGTGGACATAGCCATTGTGGAATAAGTCAGATTGTATGGAAGACAATAAATATTTCTCACTTGAATTTTTACCCCAGTAAACATTCTCCGAATGAGTTCATGGTGTCAATTGTTAGTTTTAAGTCTTCTTTTGGTACAGCATGATGTTCATTTTGTAAATCATGGTCCCATTTAAAGTAAAATAGAACATAAAGCAGAGTATGTTTTAGCTCATAGGTACTTATGATTAACAAGTTGCTACCACGGCGGCCTGTAAATCAGGATAGAGGTGTAGCAATGCGTATCCGTGGCACTGTGTACATTTTAAATAGCTGTGAACTTGTTTTTGGGTGTTCTCCATGTTTTTATCTTAGAATTTGGACCCTTCACGTTGCATTTTCAGTTCATGAAAGTAGCATTTTGCTAACAACTAAGCTAGCAAGCTAGTGCTAGCATTAGGTTGCAGGTATAGGTGGATGTGCATAGTGTCCTTGGTTTCTGAGTCAGATCCAACCCTCGCTCATCCACGGAGTCACCTCACCAAGATGGTGCCTATTCATTCCAATGAAGCTGCTTGCCTAGCGCATATGCCAAAAAAGTTTATAGCTTCCAGGTTTACTTCTGTGGTACACGGCCCACTGAATATGGGCAGCAAAGTCTCTCCTGCTGGCCCCACCTGCAAGTTCTGGCTCGGCTCATAGACTTTACATCATAGACTTTGACGTAATGTGCTTTTAAATCGCTTTTCATGGCTCCAGGAAAGTTTTACAAATATAACATTTCCGTGGATGAAAAATTCATAACAGAAAGAGTGATAATTGACCTTGTTTAGGCCAATGTTTTTTGTATTTTTTCATGGCAATACCATGAGTGGCCACTGGGAGAAACTGGCTGCAAGGCTGAGCGGCTTTCCGTCGGGTTGCTTCTTGCTTCAACAAACCCAGATGGCTACAGTGAAAATGCCATCCTAAAACAAATGGGTGACCTCATGGAGGCTACGTCTGTTATTTTATAAAGTCTGTGGGTGAAACATCAATAAAATAACAACTCTAGACCTGCTGAGTGCTTTCAAACATGTAGAGATTCATGCTTAAATTTATATGATAGGTTAAAAGATGCATCTGTAGCCTACAACCCATTAAAAAAGAAAAAAACTTAACAAATATGAATAAGTGAATAATATTTGACTGAATAACCAATTTTGTTTTCTGTTTCAAACCTTTAACTTGATTTCCATTATATTTTAAAAACAAAGATTTAAATGCAACCGAGCATGAAAAAGAAATAATGATTAGCTGAGAAAACCGAACTGATGGAAACCGTTCATCAGTAATGACAGCCACATTTGAAGCAATAAGGACAGTCATGTTTGGTGCTGACATTTTGCACCAAAGCTAACCGTTATGAGTCTCCAGTGAGCCATGAGAGGGTTCACTGATCAGTTTTACAAATGAAAGCCATCCATCTTCTGGTCGCCAGCAGCTACTGGCCTCTAATGGTGATGTTTTTTTGGGTGTGCATTGATTAGCTAGCACCGTAAATGAGATGTTTTGTTTTTCACCGTAAATGAGATGTTTTGTTTTTATTCATCCACGCAGATTAACACCAGCAGGCTAGGAGAGCAGGTGCACACACGTACTAATAGTCAGGTAATTAAGAGACCAATTGTTCATTTGTTTTGCTTCATTTATTTTTTGGAACAAAAATACATCAAGTAGATAAGCAGCATGTGCAAACCATACCACTGTTTGTTTCCTTTGTATTTAACGAAGCCTCAGCTGGAAAGACTCGCAGGCTCATTTTATGACATATTGAAGCATCTGTCTTAGTTACAGGAAGATGGCTTCCAGTATTGATGCTCCTGTGATTCCCTTTAGCCAGAAGCACAGCCTCCACATTTTTATGAATCTGTGGACATAACTGCAAACTCCCCCGGTGACCTGAAACTGGATTTTGCCCTGAATCTACAACATCCAGCCTCCAAGCCAGCCACTGGCTCCCCACCCTCTCTATCTATTTACAGTTGTTGGTTTTTTGGTTCTTTTTGCTTGCTTTGTGCACCACATCCTTCTGTGATGCTGAGCTTTAAAATGTAAAGAGGACACTGCCGGACCTGCCAGCTAAGCTGCTGCACGTTTTATGGATTGTAATTGCACTCATAAATTGTTGTCCTGCAGTAACTGTGCTCTGCTGATTTTACAGCCTGGAGCCTCCCTGAGATGCCCTAATTAGTGTCAGGTCATCCACTTCACTATGAATTTTTAATTGTTCCAACAAGGGAAACACAACTGAAGACGTTCATCAAAGGCAGCGGGGCCATTTCAGAACGTACAGAACCAATAAAAGAAATGCAGGGTAAAGAGTGTTGTCGAGTGTGTAGTGTGATTAATAATCTCATCAAGTAGCAAATAAGAATAAAATATTGATTTCACTAACAAACAACCTTGTAATATTTTCTACAGCCCTTTCATTAAAGAATTGGAGCGGGAATCACGATACAATTCTATCTTGATATGTTGCCCACGATAACGATTGTATCACGATACAGTGATTCCACGATAAATGATACATTGGAAAATAGTTATCTATGATACATTACAATGTGTGTGTAAATGAAGAAGAAGAAAAAAAGCGTGAAATCAGGAAGTATGTACAGTATATATTCACTGCAGCGTGGTGTCACGTTCACATATTTGTCAATTGAGATGATTGTTTTGGTCAATTTTGAGATCACAATTATTTAAAATGATTACTCACGTCTTTAAAAATATCATGCATTTACTGAAATTTGGGTGATGCCATCATTATTTTTACAATAAAGCCACAAGTGGGTCTGAAAAGTTGCTAAACAGCGAGAAAATTGGCGACACTGAATGCACAGCTGTACAGTACAGCGGTGCACTGCATTTATAAGACAAGACAAAATGAAAGCATTGCAAAACAAAATGCAGGAGGATAAAAAAATGTATCTCTGTCTTGCGAATCCCATAGTCTTTACTGATTTTGTTTATTCATCTTTTGACTTGAAAGATGAAGGTGCCTTTCTGATTTGTTTCCTCTGCTGTCCGACTCTGCCCTGTCCGCCATTTTCACTTTACCTTCACTCACAGAGTGCCCAAGGATTGAGCCCTAAAACCTGGAAATAAGTTAGCATTTCACCACTGCTGGTTCCCTTGTCTTGAAATCAATGAGATTTTTGATGTTAGATGCCTGAGATGAAGTCTGTGGTAAACAGTGACATAAAGGTTTTGAGACCACCAGACACAAAATAAATGTGTCACATGACACTCGTCTGACAGGAATTTTATGTTAGTTTAACATAACTTAAGAACATATTGTGGCAAGTTTACATTTCTTAATTGCAGTGATACAGCAAAGAGACAGATTCAAAATCAAGAAATGCTCTTTATGTCACCACAGCAGAGCTTTGTGTTAGACACCAATATCTACACAAGCACGAGGTTACTAACTGTGTATATGACTTAACTCATGGTGCAAAATAGCTTTTACCACAACATTAACTGTAACCCATTAGAGTCATTGTGAAAAACTTAGACATAAATCAGTGTGTAATGGATAACATGAGTCATTTAGAACACATTTAAACACAGTTTTCTTCGGCATGCTGGGAAACTCCACCTATTTAGCTCCAACATGCCACAATGTGATAGTGTTGTTTATTAGCCTAAAGCGAAATCGACTTTATAAATTGTTGTCGTGACTTAAAGGGACAGTGCACCCAAAAATGAAAATTCAGCCATTATCTACTCACCCATATGCCGATGGAGGCTCAGGTGAAGTTTTAGAGTCCTCACATCCAAGGGGGGAGGGGGTAGCAGCACAACTCCACCTAATGGAGGCTTACGGCGCCCCTGATTCAAACGTCCAAAAACACATAATTGAAACCACAAAATATCTCCATACTGCTCGTCAGTAGTGATCCAAGTGTCCTGAAGCCCCGACATAAAAAGTTGTTTGGAAAAATGTCATTTGAACTCTGTTTTTAGCCTCATTGTAGCCTGAAGCTCTGACTGCCTCTTTGTGCACCACGCTCACGTGTGTGCACTTGTGCCCATATGGAGATATTTTGTGGTTTTAATTATGTGTTTTTGGATTTTTGAATCAGGGGCGCCGTAAGCCTCCATTAGGTGGAGTTGTGTTGCTACCCCCTCTCCCCTCGGATCTCTGCAAGGGATGTGAGGACTCTAAAACTTCACTTGAGCCTCCCTCGGCATGAGGGTGAGTAGATAATGGCTGAATTTTCATTTATGGGTGCACTATCCCTTTAACGTAAAAATTTATGTCAAACTCACAAGGGAGGAGTTTTTGTGTCAAGTGAACATAAAGTTTTTATGTCGTTTTGACAGTGTGGGGCATTTGTGTAGGCTTAACATTAAAATTTTGTTTTGTGGATGGATAATGCAGCAGTGTATGCCGAAATCAGCCTTACAGCCTCGTTGTGGGGGCGTCGTTAAGTCATGCAACCGCGGTGTAGTTTGTTGATAGCCTAGCATTAGTTAGGCTTCAATAATCATGAAGGTGTCTTCATTTGTGATGATTATCTTACTTAACAAGTCTTGCTGTATCTTGCTGTAAGTATCATAAACCTTTATTTACCACAGAGATTATTATTGCAGTAATCCAAAAATCCAAATGAAAAATCCCACAGGCTTTCTGACGAGGGACCCAGGGCGATGCTAACGTCTGTGTTGGCCTACAGAGAAACTTCACTGAAGGAGCACTCGATTTGATAAGCGCTACCATGTGAAGTCATGGAGGTGTGACTCTGGTAAGCCCAATTGGCAGGGGAATCCGTTTAGAGCGCCTGCATGTTTTAATAAAAATGATATTTGGCACTAATGTATCAGTAACATATTGCAAGGGGAAGTAATACAAGATATTCCCGTATTAATATTTTGTCCCAACCCTGTAAGAGACGGCTTGAAATGAAGGAAATGTCAAGACATAAACTTTTATAATTTGCTATTACAAAGAGAGAGGCATAATACTGTGGCCATTTAACACAGCACTGCTCTTTTTTGTCACAGTGTTTCCCACTGTGGCGATGTGACACCTGCACCTGATGTGGAAAAATGTTTTAGTCTCTTCCTTTATGTTCTTTGGTAATTACTCTTTCACCGTCAAATATTGACCGCCTTTGTGGCTTTGCAGACAACTGCAGCTGAGCGAACCTGCATTGCTCTCTGCTAACATCAGAAATAATTGCTGTTTATTTTCCAAGGCCGTTGCCTCGTACAGTGTGTCTTTTTCTGTTTGTGCAGTTTATTGATTTTGCGAGAGACTGGCAGCAACACATCCTGGCAGATCTTGTTCTTTCTGAACACATCTGACACGTTGACACATTTAGGTTGTCAGTTACAGGTTGGAAAGAAACACCTGTCCAGTGTAATACAATTTAATACAGCAGACTTGATACAAATGCTGCAGCCAGGAGGCTTGTAATATTCAATATTTGTTGATACCTTGTCTGAGAAAGCAGCTCTCCATTTTTGTCTGCAGGGTAAAAAATAACATCCACTTTGAACTGATTATTCACATCAGGTTATTTTTTTTTGTTTTGTTTGGAGCAATTGTTTTCATTTGCATTATATTTTACAGGTGTTGCAGTTATTGTGTCCACCCCGCTGTAGCTGGCGTGCCTCCACACTCCCACAGTCTGGTTTCACAGCTTCCTCTCCCACTCCTCATCACTCTCACTTTGCAGTTCAGATGCAGGTTCACATGATTGCTAGAACATTCGCTAACTTGTGAAAAAAGAAATTCACAGCTGCTGTTAACTCGCCAAATGAATAACGGCAGTCGTTTTTAATTATGTTATTTTATGTTTCTGCAAAAGAGCAAGACAGATTTTCAGATGTGACTTAAGTGAATGAGTTGTTTGTTTTTTACAGTGAGGTGAAATCTTGTATCTGGGCTTTTATTGTGGTGACAGCACAGTATCTCATTGTACAAGCAGCGGCTTCATTTGCATCCATCTCTTTAATTGATTAGGCCAACGAGGCGCTGTCTTTGCAGAAGGTTGATTGCTTCAATCTGCATACAAATGAGCTTTCAAGGCAAACGCTGCCTGGGTGCTGCTGTTGGAATCACCTGGAGGCCTGGATTAGTAGGAAGTGTTTTCAAAGAAGTACAAATATTTGATGTTGACTAAATGCAGCTGAATAAAACATTTGAAGGATTTTGTTCCAAAATCACAGAACTTTCATTTACATATAATTAGGGTTGCTTTTCCCAGCCCAGCTGACAAAAGGAAATGTTGGCCTCAGAGGTTTCTGCAAACCATGGATACGTTAAGTCGGATACGTCGTGAGGCAAGACGCCTGCCAAGCTGCAAATTACTGTTTGACATCAACAAACAACACAACTGGCTGTTTTTAGTGAGTTTCCAGTGACTTTTCAGCCCCCAAACGTGGGTGTTTTTTTTAGGGACCTGCAGCTGTATTTCCTGCGGGTTGTTTTCACCAACACGTTGCTGCTTTTCCAGCAGGGGTTGTGCCCCTAAACCCAGCTACTTTTATCCAAAACATGATCTGTTCCTAACAATAACCAAGTGTTTTTTCTGCATAAAACACATGTTAACCACAGCATTTTTGAAACGTGACGTTTAAATTTGTTCGTTACTTCATAACATGCAAGTGTCATTTATTCGTGGTATGCAGAAATGCACAATGCCAACACGTTTTTCTGAGGATTGAGTTTTTCCAGCATGATTACGGGCATGAATGACAACGCACTGCAGGGTTTCTTGTGAAAAATGAGCCCGGTCTCACTCCGAAGTCGTCGAAATCTGGCGCTTGGGCGGACTTGCACTTGCAGTGTCAGAAACCAATGAAAAAAGCAGTCCATTAACGTTGACATGATACGTGGCAAAAGTCCGACTGGGGGGAGGAGTGGTGGTTGTGTCCAGCAAACACTGACTTTCACCCAAGAGAGCGGTGTTTGTGTCCCATAAGTTCGTCAAGCCAAACCGTATTCTTTTTTCCTAAACCTAACTACGTGCTTTTGTTGTTGAGGGAAAAAAAAAAGTCAATTTGCAGTGTTGCACCGAAGTAGTGCGTTGATTTTGAAAGAGACTGTATGTAAACGTTAAAATTCCTGTGAAAATGGAAGTGTATTTTGAAAGAAGACAATGCATGTAACAGGCAGAACTTGACACAGTGTCAAGAATGTCAACAACCAATGCACCCAGGGTACCATTCACGTCATATGTGAGGTGGAAAGTACATGACCAAACGTCAATATGTGACGAGGATGGAGTGAGAATGTGTTGAGGATTGGGTTTTTCCACTATGATTACAGGCATAAATGACAATCTTCTACAGGGTTTCTCCTGGAAAATCGTTCTTTAAACACTGTTTTGGAAAACTGTAATATTGACTGATACATTCAAGGTCATATACAACATTTTTGATGTGAAACCCTCAATTTGTTCTCAGTATCTATGTGCAGCGCATTGAAGGTTCCTCTTGGAACTGTACAGAAGGGATTTCTGCGTGCACACAAGGGTTTGATCATCCTTGAAAGAAGTGAAACAGCAGGGTTCTTACCGCTCTGGTGGGATTGCTCTGATCAATGGGGTTTTTGAAGTCTGTGCGAAGCTCATCAAACGCAATGATCTGAAAAATAACAGACACGTGAGTTTGCTTCCAATTAGTTACCTTTACAGCACTAATGAATGTACTGTAATATATCAGATAAAGACATAGTTGGTATCTCTTTAACACTACACACTACACAAGAAATGGTCTTGTCTCAGCCTGTCGTACAATGCTGTTGTAACTCTCCTAGAACAGTTTGCTGTGCTGCACACCCACTACATCTTGTACAGCTGCAGCCACATCGTTCCCTTTGCTCGAGCACACATGGTGATTAAATGGTGAATGTGTGTATGTATAATTACTTGGAGCCTTGCTCATTCCCTTTACGCTGTGTATGAGCTCCTACATGTGTCACTGTGTAGTTTCTTACTATTGAAGGAGATAAAATTCTGATTTAAATTCTCCCTGTATTGCCACTAGTGGTGTTGTGCAGTATTGGTATCAACAATAACTATGACATATTGATATCATGTCAACAATACCTTTAGGATAATATCCTGTAAATAATCTAGTGCCTCTTAAAGGAACATTGTGTAAGATTTAGGGGGATTTAGTGGCATCTAGTGGTGAGGCTGCAGATTGCAACCAGCTGAACTTCCCCTGGTTAGATTTCCTTCGGTGTTTATTGTTCAGGAGGTTTTTAGCGGGAGCTGAATTATTCACAGAGGTCTCCTCCTCTTCAAAACAAACAGACCAGGTAATTTAAACCGGTAAAACCACTGAATAAAGCATTTTCACATTACAAATCAGTGTTTCTCCAAAGCTGTTTGGCACATCGGAGACACCCTGCTAGCCTACAACCTGCTATTACGTGCTATTTTCTGTGATAACTTCAGATCCAGTTGTTCAGGAGGTTTTTACCAGGAGCCAAATTATCCACAGAGGTCTCTTCCTCTCCCAAACAAATGCACCCGGTGATTTAAACTGGTAGAATCAATCAATAGAGCAGTTTCAATTTCCACAGTCTTGTCGTGGAGGGGCTGCTAATGAAAATGCAAAAACACAAATGGGACACTCTCTACAGCCAGTGTTTGGTTTGTCCGTTGTGGGCCACTGTAGAAACATGGCATAGATATATATTGGTTATTCCAAGGTAACAAAAACACAATGATTCTTATTTTCGGGTAATTATACACAAAAGAAAATGTACTTATTATATATATTAATCCATTTCAGCCCGTACATCCCCATAAATCCTACACACTGGACCTTTAAATGATTTCAGTGTCTTTCAGTTCTCACCTTATCTCCTTTACCCAATGCCATCTGGTTGCTTTTTCATTATCTAATAAGTGTAATTGCTCATTTTGTATGATTGTGTACAGTTATGGTTACAGACTCTCTTTCCACCTCCCTATACTTGTATTTTGAGTTTAATTCATTTGTCAAATAGGAGACAAAATAAAAAACAGTAAGGATGAATTTGACTGATAGCATGTTTTTATTTATTTTCATATTTTCTCTAGATATTGCGATAATATCATTAGCATGAACTCTTTTGGGTGTGTTAATCATGTAGTATTTGTTATCATGCAGCACAAACCTAGAATAACGTCCCAAGCCCGACTCTGACATCTTTTAAGTCAAAGCTAAAAACATAGATTTTTTACACTGCCTACTCCACCCTGTAATGACTGCAAACTTATTACTAAACTCGACTTTAAATCAGTTACATTTTAAATAATCTTTTTTATCTTTTCACCTTTTGTCTGCACTGTTGCTATTTTATTGTAATTTTTTAAAAATGTAAATAATTTAGTAATTTCTTTTACTTTTTTTTTTTCTCTTTACGCTTTTATTGTAAATCTGTATTACTTATTATGTTTTATATATTATATTTTATTGCTCTGTAAAGCACTTTGACTTGCCCTGGTGTATGAAATGTGCTTTACAAATAAAGCTTCCTTGCCTTGCTTTGTAATAATCAGATATTGTTCCAGCCCTGTTTGTCACACAGTGTTGGTTTGAATTTTACCCTTGTTTCTCTTGTTTTTTCCCCCAATCTCCTCTAAAATATTATACCAGTCTATTTTAATTCAGCCTGATAATAAAGTTCACATTAGAATTTACAGAATACCCTCTGAGACATCGACAGCTGTCAAGGAAACTAATTTCTAATGGCAAAATTAGGCATTTATTTATTCATAATCTGGCAGGATTACATAACATTCAAAATTATGCTTGGCAAAAGTTTGTCATATTTCAAATGCAAGACTTAAAGCTTTGTTGAGTTTGAGAATTATGGTCTGCTGGAAGTCTGCAGAAGATCTTGCACGATTTTGTTCCTTGTCCTTTTCAGTAAAACCAAGGCCATAGTTGTTGTTTTTTCAATATTGTGCAATTTGAGGGTCCTCTGCCAGAAAATTGTGAGCTTAAACACTTAATTTTCTCTGTTCTGGTGATTTTTTTATGCACTGATTTGTGCATCAATTTATGGTGTAAATGTTTTTAATTTGTCAAAGAAAAAGTCCTCTCCTGCTTTCATGTTTTTACTGGTGGGGACAAACACCCCCTGAAATCTACACCCATGAGTAAGACATCAGAATATGAAATTGTGTTTTCTGTCATTGTTCGGATTCCCTAATAGCTCTCTATCTGCTCCCTGTGAGAAGCAGTATGAGTATGAGTGATATTTTTTTCTCACCAGCTCCCTGATTAATAGCTCTATAAAAATACTAATAACTCTCGGTGTAAAGGCCACCTGCTATGCTTATCATCAGTTCAGCTTTTAAGCAGCTCAGCTTATCGTTGATGGCTCATTGAAAAGCAATAAAACACAGACATTATTTGCAGATAAGTGAGCATCTGATTTGCGTCAACAATGACTGATTACATGAAAACACTATCTGTTCAGAATAGAAACAGTGCTGGTGGTTATTGCCCCCATACGAGTCTATACAGCTCTCCCTCATCTTCCTTCACACTTAGCTCCGTTGTAAACAGATGCAGTTTCCATGGCGACATGGTGAGCCCCTCAGCGGGCTCCATGGTTACTATAGCATCGAACAAACGCTCTGATTGGTCGAGAGCCACGTAGAATTGGGGTGCCGTACCCATGGGTAGAGGCAGACTGGGGGAAGGGGTGAACCTAATCATAGTTTGATAAGCGTTTCAGTCACATGGCTGAATGGTGAGCCAGACACACGCTTCCCCCCCGTCTCTTTCACACACAGACACACTGACTGACTCATATGTAGTCTCACCCACTTAGTCAATTGGTACGTTAGTCATTTCAAGTCTTATGTTCGTAATGATGTGTTATGTATTTCATATAATTCCTGCCTCCATGGATCGAATGTTAAAGGTGAGAGATCAAAGCCTCAGTGTTTGTTGAGTCTGCTCTTGTGTAACCAGTGATCCGAGTGTGTCAGTGTCCTCTCCAAACGCTGCAGGCAGACGGATTCACAACAGTCTGGTGGTGAAATTTATGATCAGTGTGTTTTGCTGTGTCTCTGTACTCATTTTGTGCAGTTTGCTGAAGCCTGAGCGCCTTGTTTGAGGAACTGTTTATTGTCTCTGGGATCATAGGTTGTTTTACTGTGAGCCGGAGATGGAGCCGCTCTTGTTTAATGTGTCAGGGTCAGACGGGCTCCAGTTAATTACACTAGTGATATACTGGTATGTAAGCAGGTCAGTGTGTGGAAACAGATGAAATATGCACAAATAAATTAAGACTTAAAGGGACAGTTCACCCCCAAAATCAAAAATACCTATTTTCCCTCTCACCTGTAGTGCTATTAATTAATCTAGATCGTTCTGGTGTGAGTTGCTGAGTGTTGGAGATATCGGCTGTAGAGATGTCTGCCTTCTCTCTAATATAATGGAACTAGATGGCACTCAGCTTTTGGTACTCAAAGCGTAAAGAAAAAAAACTCAACAGCAATGTCTCTTTCCAGAAATCATGACCCAGTTAATAAAGATAATCCACAGACTTTGCTCTGAGCGGTTTCATGTGGGAACTATTTTCTGTCTGAGCTACACCCATCAGCCATATCAGAGGGAAGCTTGCATCCACAGCGCTGCCTCCTACAAAGTACATTTATATATAACTAGTGAGGAACAGCAAATACATTTTGAGGGAAATGCAATGCAGAGTGCTTTACATTTGCATTAACATAATGAGGAAATGTCGCTAAATAATGTGCCTGGCAAGCTAAAAGAATCAGCAAAATGTTCACTTGCAACCTATTTCAGTTGTTTTCCAACCAAATATTCTATCTTGCAATTTACTATCCACTTGTAGTGATGCCAGCATTATTTTTTTTTATAACCTTTATTATTAATATTAAACTGAAATCACAATCTTTCCAGATTTATTTACTCTGCAACAAAACAATTGTGCAGACTACGAACATACAACAAGACAGCAATAACAGGTAGACAATCTCTAGCACAAAATAAGTAATTTAAAGATGGGGAGACCATTACTCCAAAAAGCCCCTTGTTAACATCATATAAATCTGATCACCAACCCTGTGTCTCAAATCACATACTTCCGGTACCGTTAGTGCACTTCCATGTAGTATACTATGTGCACTATGTACTTATTGGCGTAGTGCGTGAATTTTGACAGGGTAGTGTTGTCTCAAACCAAACACAGCCGTTGCACTCATCGGAAATGACGACTGCAAATTAGCTAGTTAGCAAACTAGCTTTAGCATTTGCGTTATCATTTGCGGTACCAAATCATTACATCAAGTATAGTGGTGCTTACTGCAAAAAACACGTATAACTTACATTTGTACAATGCAGCGACGTTCACAGTCCTCGGCTGCCATTTCCAGTTTGAAAAATGGCCCCTCCCCTTCCGCTACGTGGCCAAGATGGCGATCGTTGAGGGTGAGAAATGTCCATACTTCCACACTCAACTTTTTGACCGTTTTGAGTGCACCATCCCGGTACTCATAGTGCACTGCATTTTTCCATACTTCTCAGTGTGAACGCACTTATGCACTCAAAATATTAAGTGTAAGTACAGAAGTACGCGATTTGAGACCCAGCAAAAGTGCTTTTGTTGCCTAAACCTAAGACGAGAGTCTGCACACAAACCCAGGGTTCTGGTGTCAAGTTCCTGCACTTTGTACGTTCACCATCCTTCCCAACATCTTCCTCATGAAGCCGACATGGTACATGAATGTAGTGTTTCATTACCCAAAGGAAACGTTGTCTACATAATCCAGGCAGGGATTAGGTCACGTAATTCAGAAACATGCAAACATAATTTGTAGGAGAAAAGCCTGGCATCTACTGCTAGCTCACCTAGCACCACTGAGCTAGCCGAGCATGACGTCATTAATGGTTACACTCATGCTGTCACGAGCACAAGCCTCTCGTACATGTTCCATGCACGCTTCCTTCTGAGCGGTGATACGGTTTGTGGGTGTAGTTCGGGAGAAAGAAAATAGTTCCTACATGAAACTGCTCACAACAAGGTCTGTGGATTACCTTGAGGTCATGATTTCTGGAAAGAGCAGTTGGGTCTCACTCCTGACTCGTCAAACAATGAAGCTTGGTCAGTGGCCCGTTGGTGTCAGACACTGACACACCGAGGCAACCTTTAGCGGCAGTGTGAAATGACCCGGGCGGTGCCATTTGTTGACACTCCGGGGAAGAAAGTAAGCATTAGGCGGGCAAGAGGGGAAATGGATGAGACAAATTTTAGACTTACTCCAGTGAGTCTGCTGTTTGTGTCCCATGTGACACCAAAAGTCAGTTGTTTTTCTGACCAAGTGTCGATATTTGACAAGTTGGGAGTGAGAATGTGTTGGAAAGAGATGTTGGTGTTGAGTTTTTCCAATGTATTTTTTTGGGGCTTTGAGCACCACAAGCCGAGTGACATTAGTTCCATTATATTGGCGAGAAGGTGGATATCTCAAACACTCAGGAACTCACACAAAACAATCTAAATTGATAAATAGCACTACAGGTAAGAGGATAAATATATATTTTTGATTTTGGGATGAACAGTCCCTTTAACATCTTTTGTTTTTCAGTCTTTTGTAACTCTGTGGTCTGTTTCAACTAATTATGTCTTTGCAGCTCGCTGTGTGGGAACAATGTGCCATTTGGTGGCTTTTAAGAGGCAATTGAAAATGTCAGTCACATATAGGTACAATTACAGTGATATTCAGCCGACACATTTTATGCATGTCATTACCTCTGGAGTACCTGAGCGAGGTGTGTGTATGCTGTGTTCCTGTCGGTGTTGTGTGTAGGCGGGCTGCGTTTGTCTGCCTGCGTGGGCCGTGGACGTTCATGTGCCCTATTTGGAGTTTGTGTGTGTGCTGTGGCTCCAGTGTGCACGGTTGCCACTCACCTGCCATATGACAAAGAAGATGAGAGCGGCGCACAGCACCAGGGTGAGCATGTAGCAGAAGGCCGCAAAGGTGAACGCCATGGCTGAGCCAGCCAGCCTGACGACGAGATGGGTCGACACAGAGAAAGGGAAGTTCTCCCTTTGCTCTCTGCCTCTCTCTGGCTATTGCTCTCCCTCCTTCTTTTAGTGGAGGTTATTGTCTGTCCCCCCCCTCCCCTCTGAGGCGGGCGTCCTCCAGGAAGGTAGAGCACTCAGTTTTAGTAACAATCAATAATCAGCATGGCTTCACTGCTTCCACTCTTTGTCTCGTTTTGAATACCTGACAGCAGGACCTGTCTCGCTTTGATTGAGGAAGCACTTTAATGTCTGTTCACAGCCACAGTTGTGTGTCGTTGGCCTGATGCTCAGTCTCTGACAGGCAAGATGTCTGTCTCCTCCTCCTCCTCCTCCATGTAGTTTCTCTTTAGACAAAGCCTACACATTTTTTTTCCTCTCTCTCTCTCTCTCTCTCTCTCTCTCTCTCTCTCTCTCTCTCTCTCTCTCTCTTTCTTCCTCACAGTAAGCCACAAAGTGTCTGAGTGACACGCCGACAACAGAAGCACAGGATTCTTGTCGATACTGAGCACAGCACGGCGTTTAAACGACAGCGAGGAGGATTATCATCTAAGATGGTTATGGCTTGTGATAGTTCAGTAGTTTGTCTTATGGCTTTCAGCTCATCTGTTGCTCTAAATCAAAAACACCATTAGTGACGCATATTTAAAACCACATTTAACACATTTGTAAACAGCCAGTTTGCAGATTATCTGTGAGTCATAATTTACAGACAGTGTCTTGGTATGTTACTTACTTTATTACTGAATTATTTTAGAGAAATCATCACATTGTTCTGATACGACGTATTGCTTTGCACGTTAGACAGTTAATTTCTGTCAAAGCAAATGCTAATTAAAGTATAAAATGATAAGTATAAATCACTTAGGCAGGTTTCAAATGAAACAACTGTTTAGCATCACAACACCAACACCACACATCCACGAGGACTTACAAATACAAGATCAGAGCAAAACACTGATGACAGTTTGAGTTAGCATGGATCGACATCTCGCCCGAGCTTAATATCGAGTAGAGAATACCTGTGTCTGGTTGGAGACGTGTCTGCCACTGAACAGTCCACTCTGTCCTCGTCTCTGTCAATTTGGGTCGGCACCATGTCACAATTCCCTGCTCTGCATCTTTCTCTCAAACGCATCCCCCAGATTTCTACAAAAACACTGAGATTTGTCTCTGCAGGGTTAATTATGAAAGAGGAAAAAAAGGGGGAGACGTGCAGAACATCTACATGTTGAGCCGCATTTATTCTGATTTAGAGATCTCCAAGAAGTCATAAGTTAATTAGTCCACCTTTCTGTTGTCTACCTCCTCCCTATTTGCCCTTCCTTCTTTCTAAAGTCTTTTTTATCTCTTCCAGAGGTTTTGAAAACAGACCTGATTGTGTTTCCTGAGTCTACTGTCTCTGCCTTCCTCTGTTTCTTGGACTGCAAGAGAAATATTTCTATCACGCTTGATGTTCTAACGGTCAACCAATAGCATCGCGCTGTCTCCCTCCCTCTCTTATTTGCTCTCCCTCTCTCCTCCTCCTCTTCCTCCTCGCTGTCTGTCAGTCTCCCTCTCTCTCTCTTGCATTTATACATTTCCATAATCCCTTTCTCCCCAGGGATCGATGAGGGGGCAGGGCAGGCTGCAAATGTTTTTTTTTTTCTTTTGTCTGCTTTTCTCTTTCCATTTCTACCCCTGCCTCTGTCATTCCCTTTTCACCGGAGCCTTCAGTCATCCATCATTCCGTGAAATCTAAATCTGTTTCACGGAGGGTGTTGCTCTCAATCACCTGTCATTTCTTTCATTTCCTCGCTCTATTAGCTTTTCACCCAAAATTTCTCAATTTCACTTTTTATCCATTCTCCTTTCTTTTTCCTCCAACCTCAGCTTATTATTGAACAGATTTTTAGAAACCACTGGTGCCATCTAACGTGCACTGCTGTCACATCTTTTTGTTATAATCAAACATAATTATCATCACTGATTCTGTACATCCTTTCTTTGACGAATTCCAAAGTCTGTGAGAATCACCTGCATCACAAAAATACACTCACATAGTGAAAGTATGGACAGCACAGGGGCGATGTGATGATGTAATGCAGTGGTTCACAATCTTTTTTATCTGACACACCCACAGCCCCATCAGATGAGATCAAATACCCCTTCATCAACACCCCCCGCTGTGCTCCAAATATGTTCATATGAATGGATTATAAGATGGTTATTTAACACTTTTAATTATATAAAAGTGGATATTGTTACTTTTTTTTTACACAATAAATCAAAGTTTGGTCAAGCTTGCATTTGTGCTACTACCACATGGAGTGGTAGAAGCAGGATTTTTCAACTGATCATACTTAACTTTTAGCAAACTATTTATTTTTTTAATATATTTAATTTTGTTTCTTTATCATTTAGAGAAAAAAGGTTCAAACAGACACAGAGCAACATCATTCATTCGGAGTTGTTTTTCTGTCAACGTGATGAATGTAAGTCCAATATTCTCTCTGCTTTTTGCTCTGTTTTCCTCTCCACCATCTCCCGAGAAAATTTTATGGCTCTTAAGCTGCTAAATGCTTCACTGTCAGGAGGATTGACAGTGAAGCATTTACTTCAGGCTAATTGTTATTTGTGATATTGGGCTTTATAAATAAAATTGATTGATTGATAATTCAGACTGGCCTTTGTGGGTCAAAATGTGTAACCACACCAGGTTTTAAGGTATTTTTTAATGACTCGTTGGGACATTCCAGCCATGTTTGTTGCAGCAAAACTGTTTGTTTGTTTGTTTGTTTTTTTTAAATGGGTTGGAACATTTCCAGTGTGTTTGTTTCAATAAAAGTGGGTCTGTTGCCATAAAACTGGGTATTTTTGAACCAGTCCATATTGAGCTGAATAGTCCATATCTAGCTGTGTTTGTTAAGACTAATTGAAGGAGACGTCTGTCCATTTGTAGCTGTGTTTGTTGCGACAAAACCAGATATTTTTAATGACTTGTTAAGACATTCCCAGCTGTATTTGTTGCAACAAAAGATGGTTTCTAACATCACATTTCCAGCCATGTTTGTAGCGACCAAACCAGGTATTGTAAGCCAAAACAGGATCTTTTCCAAACAGTAACCAGGTGTTATTCTTGTCCGTTTGCCTAAACCTGACCACATGTTAACCACAGCTTTGTCATATCATACACTGAAAATTAAGATGTAAAGAAAAGTTTCAACATATCTGTCACATATAAGGTGTACAAAAGTAACATATCTCTTAGTTTGCAGATATATACAATTCCAACTTTTTTATGTTGATTGGGTTGCCATTTGCCTAAGAACACAGAAATGAATGATACCAACTCCCTAATACTCTTGTCAATTTTAAATGGTTAGGAATCTGCTGTATCTAGTTTGCCATGTAAACTTCTTAGATATCTCGTATAACAGCAACACTTTATTTGTGTACATGAATTATCTGCTCTTATATTTGGACTGAATCAGATCAGAAATACTGAAATGATCCCAGGGGGAAGTTGTGATTCGTTACAGTTGGTTAGATGTAAAGAATAGAACATTACAAGAAGTAAAATTAACAGTATGAAATAGAAGTATGTAAATATAACATAATAAAATTCAATACAATAGAGATAAAAATATGCATTATGCTACAAGTTTAACACCAGTACTTAAGATAGTAAGAATACACTATATATCTTCACTGTGCTGAGTCTGTATGTGTGGAAAAATATACTAATATGTGCAGTGTGCTACATTACACTGTATAAACTAGTGTTACATTCAGAGATATTAAACAAAATCTCTGAAAACTGACTGAAATGAATAAAGGAAAGAATGTTATGCTGCATGTGACCTTGTGGATACATTGCTGATCTATACAGTTACGTGACTGTATGGTGCCTGTGCGGTTCCATACCTCTGACCACCTCACCGCCTCACTGCCTCACTGCCTCACCGCCTACATCTTAAAGTGAACAGACCTGGGAAATTAGTCAGATTATCAGGCTGCAGTCCATATGGCTGATTTCTTGTAATGAAAATATGATGTGAGAATGCAATCTGGGTTACAGCACACAGCAGTGAACGGGTGGCATTCAGCAATCTGGGTTAGTGTGTTATATATCCAGTGGTTAAGCAGAGGTTACTGGTCTATTTTGGTTTACTGTGTTGTCAGTGGTCGGGGATTCCCTGCAGTCTGGTCAAACTGTGTCGAGATGTTATTTTGGAGGTTAATTACTTTCTCACTTGTTTCATTCCTGAAGCCATTTGGGTTGTTAAACTGGCAAAGCCATAAAATACGAGTTAATGAGAAACACAGTTTGGCTGGTGTAATCCAACTTCAGCCTCTACTTTCCTCTCTGTGTCACAGAGAGAAACCTAACGCAGCATGTTTATCAGTTTCTTAGTTTAGTCATTAGTTATATGAACTGCAGTTAGATGCCACGGGTGCTGAAGGCTGCCAGACAGCCCTGGGCTGAGAGCGTTTGGCTCCATCTGCAGCCAGTAGTTCAGAAATCATAAGCACCACATGAGTGTGTCTGGGCCAAAAGCAACAGAGGAAGTCCAAGAATGTTAGTACTCTGGCCCTCACAGCGAACACTTGAACTCCTGAGTTTGCTCTCATTAAACCTACCTAACTTGATGTTCAGCCACGTAATATTATTAAGTACAGTAAAGCACCTTAAATGCATTCTGCAGGTATTTGCTGCTTTCATTGGCAAGTTATTGTCAAATTTCAACTCTGGCTTTTGACATGAATTTGCCTGAGCCACCTGTTAGAGGGAGACCAAAGAACCAACCACAACTACTTGTCTAATAGCTGCTGCTGTCACAATGAAATATGCTCTGGTGTGTTTACAGATGGGCCATTTCCACTCTATTAGCACTGCTCCACTTGGACTTTGTTATGTTTTACTGTTGCAAATTTAAAGGACTAAAGGATGAATGTGTTAAATCAAACACAGATAGATCCTAAAACTGGTTGTTATCCATAAATATTAGAGACGAAAAAAATTTAAGAAATGATTTTCTCAATGATTTTGATAAATGAGAATTTGTTGGTTTGTGTTTAAAAAAATGAGATTCAATGGTATTGACGATAACCGGGATATTTAAAGGTCCAGTGTGTAGGATTTAGGGCAATGGCATGTAATATTCATAACTATGTTTACTTTAGGTACATCACCTAAAAATAACTGTGTTTTTGTTACATTAGAATGAGCCACTTATTTTCAATTTTCAATTTCAATTCGATTTTATTTATAAAGCCCAATATCACAAATCACAATTTGCCTCACAGGGCTTTACAGCATAGGACATCCCTCTGTCCTTAGGACCCTCACAGCGGATAAGGAAAATCTCCTCAAAAAATCCCTTTAACAGGGAACCTCAGGAAGAGCAACTGAGGAGGGATCCCTCTTCCAGGACAGACAGACGTGCAATAGATGTCGTACAGAACAGATCAACATAATATATTTACAGTGATACAGGGCAGACAGTTATGACAACAGCTACAATAACATTCATTTTAGTAATAATATAAGAGTAATAAAGACAGTAATTGTGGTAGCATATGAGTGAGTGATCCTGTTACAGGTGTTGACACAAATCATAAATGGACCTCCAGTCAAATTTATAGTGCACAATCAATTGCTCATCATAAAGGGTGTGCACCGGGTTCGTGGAACACTCTTCTTGAGATGCCTTCATTTTCCTCATTTATCACCATAAACTCAGCCATGTTGCACTCAAAATGCGATCAGAGGTACCTTACGTGGTTGCTAAGGTCCTCTGTGCAATAGTTTCACCAACTTTAAGCAATTCCTGAAGTATAAGACCAAGATAAGGGGAAAACTTAAGGAAACCTTAAGGAGAGGACTTGAGAATGATTTGTGCAACCGATTTTACTTGAGGAAATCTTAACTCGGATTTAAAGGAAATCTTAACTCAAGTTATCAGAGAAAGGAGACAAGCACACATTAGCAGGAGCTGGGCGAGTGGCCTGTCTGCAGAGAAACACTGATTTTGTAACCTGAAGCTACTTTAGTCAGTGTTTTTACTGGTTTTATTCACCTACTCTGTTTGTATTTTGTAAAGAGAAAGACCTCTGAGGATAATTTGACTCTTCTAAAAACCCCTGAACAATGAATACTGACGCAGTCCTAACTGTGAGTTCACGCTTGACACACAGGAGAAGTTTCAGCTGGTTGCAGGTTACAATCCTTACCACTAGATGCCACTAAATCCTACACACTGCTCCTTTAAAAACGAAATACTGATATCACGTTAATAACACACATAGGACAATACTGTGTAAATACTCTAGCGCCTCTAAAATAATTTTAATTTCTTTTGTCACTTTGTCTCCCTCCACCAACGCCATCTGGTTGCCTTTTAACTATCACTTTTTGTGCAATTTTGTGTGGTTATGCTTTCTCCATCTTTCTACACTTGTATTTTAAGTGCAATGTATTTGCCGAAAAAGAGACAAAAAGCACACTACAAAAAGTTAAAGAAGATTATGACTGATAGCATTACTAATATTATTACTGATATTATTATTATTGTTGTTATTATTATTATATTTTTAAAAATTAAAATAAAACAAAACTGTTTTACCCATTGATCGGTTAAGATGAAACACTCAATTGAATGTTAAGTTTTATTGTGTATTTTATGTTAATGGCAGTATATATTTCTCTTACATCTTTCTGTTTCCACTGGGGATGAAAATTGTAATTTGTAAAAAGTATTTAACAATCTTAAAGAAGATTATGGTGATGTTTTGTAAACTTAATATATATGGCAAACTGTTCATCACATGGACAGGGGAAACAACCTCAGACTCTTGATTTGATTATGTGGATGTGG